CCCCAAAACCCCAAAACCCCAAAACCCCTGTAATCTTGGATCGAATTGATAAGGAGTTACATTTTGCTCGAATAAAATTTCTAGGCAAAGTCAACCTCACAAGTCAATATTTTCCAAACGATACCTAAAGAAATATGACTGTCAATTAAAATTGTGAAAATATGGGGTTAGTCTCGTATCAGTCGAGCAAACATTCACTAGTGACACAGTAAATGCATTGGTGATGTATCCTAACTCTTGTGGAAGTTTGGCTTCCAATTTAAACTGTGAGGAGTCTTGCTCAGTAAACAGGATAGTCTCTGGATAATATACCTCAAATTATCTAACTTAATCCCAAGTGTAGTCTAACCAAGGAGTTTCCTCCCCCAAATAAATGTAGAGACTTAAGCAGGCTTAAGACCCATTGTTCTCATAACAGCCAAGGCTTGCTTTGGCATTCAAGAGTTTTAAGCCCCCAGTTTTGGTAATTTAGGGATAAGTGTAAGTTGAGACAAGTGAGTTGTGGTCAAATCAGTCAAGCAAAAGTATTAAGATACCAAGGGAAATAAGTTTATACCCACATTAAAGTTCCCAAGTTTGTACTCTTTCTTTGGCAAGAACTTTATTACTGGATCTGGTCTTCAATTAAGGTTAATTGTTACAGTGTGTAAACAAGTGTTCAGTCTGGACTCGGCCATCTTCTCCATCAATCTATCCAAGTATTCATTGTCTTCTTCAGGCTGAATAAATGTGTTATGATCTAATCTGAGATGCTCGATCAAGGAGAGGGTATCTTTCCTATTCCCTACATGATCAAGATAATCAAAATTATCAACATTCACTTGTCAGTGTCTGAGTCACAATTCCTGAATGTTGTTTCATGACATGAGGATCCTTCCAAACTCTTTGTGCGATATTTTGAAGGCCTCTATGTCAACTGACCTTGTCATCATTGGAACAAGTCTAAGCACACTCCTGGCATAAAGGCTAAAGTTTGGTAAATCTAAAATTATTCAGTCAAATATTATTTTATTTATTAGCATTTGTTGGTCCACATTCCTCAAAAGTGTTTCTAAGGCAAACATCGAGTATTTTAAATTATGAAGAAATCTTTTGTCAGAGCAATATTGATTCTGACCAACTATCTTAAAATTGGAACTTAGTAAATTCAAACTAAGCTTCATCAAGTTATATTGTATATTTTGAGGATCAGAATAGTGTAATTTAACTGAAAGTACCTAGACTAAATCGGTCTGATCGCCTTGAATTGCAATCCATATCAGCTTGCTTCCTCTCATCTGGTTCAACATCTTGATGCAGTAATTCCTATACTGAATACGTGTTCCCCTCTTCTTAATTTTCTCTAAATAAATGTAATTCAACTTAGAAAGTTGAGGACCCAGCTTGGCTATCTTCTTCAAGGTCTGTCTTTGTTGTTCATTGTCCAAAGGCAAACGAATAAAATCTGGCCTAATCCATATGCCAACACTTTGGTAGACCATATAGTCCACAAAGCCAAAATTCTGCAGCTCCAGCTGGTCGGCCTGCTGCTGGAGTTCATACTCTGTGTCCGTCTTTCTTCCCTTTAATTCAAGGTTGGAGGAGGTTGGTTCCATTTTTATTATTTTTATAAAAAATTGAAGGTTCAACTGATGCAGCACTAATCGGGGTTTTGGGGTTTTGGGGTTTTGGGGTTTTGGGG